CCTGCAGGAGGTTACCCTGCAGGAGGATACCCTAATCAACCAGGAAGAGGAAATTATCCAAATCAAAACCCAGCAGGAGGCTACCCTGCAGGCGGATATCCTGCAGGCGGATACCCTAATCAACCAGGAAGAGGAAATTATCCAAATCAGAACCCAGCTGCTGGCGGCTACCCAGCTGGTGGATACCCCAACCAAGGCAGAGGAGGGTATCCTAACCAGTACCCTGCTGGAGGGAATTATCCCAATCAGTACCCAGGTGGTTACGGCGGTGGATACGGTGGTGGTTACGGCGGTGGATATGGTGGTGGATACGGTGGAGGAGCAATTGGCGGTTACCCTAACTGGAACCCAAATAATAAAATCCTCAGCCCAAGGTTCGGTGGCGGAGGTTATGGATATGGTGGTTATGGCATGGGAGGATCTCCTTTCTCTCGTTCTGTGCAGGGCATGGGAATTCAGCCCAAATCAACAAGCTTTGCCAAAAAAGCCATGGTAGCAGCAGGTGTCGGTGCATTAGCTGGAATGGCCGTTGGTTATGGGCTAGGGCGCTTCCCTCGACCACATTTTGCCTTCCGTAACCCCGAAGAAGAATACTATTACAACAACTACATGTACCGTCGTTATGGGACCAAGTCAACGGATGAGAAAGACTATGGGCGGGACTATGTCTACAAGCCTCCTCCACGGGCCAAGACCTACGAGAACTACATGAATGAGTGCATGAATCGCACTGACCTCCTCAAAGACCAAGGCTCATCCAACAGTGGAGCAACTGATGAGGATAACGACACCGTGAGCATTGAGGAAATTGGGTACCCATCCCTGATCAACCAAGTCAAGTCCCGCCGCTGCGTGGAGGAGTACATGAAGTACTCTGCACAGTTCATGGAGGAACGAAAGTTTGAACAGCAACAGCCAAGAGGTAGCGCTCCTATGAGCAATGGGGTGGTGCAGCTTTTCACATCTGGCTTCGTGCTTCTGTCAAGCATGCTGCTACTGCAGTGAGGAAGAAGAAAAGGATTCCTTTCAGCCACATCCCAAATAGATTTCCCCTGCTTCCATTATAGCTGTAACAGTAACAGCCTGTGTATCGAATCTTTACAGTCGAAACGATAGCTTCTAGATTGTTACAGTCAATTTTTCTGCCAAAGTAAAGTAATCTGGATTAAGTTTTAAATACACTGCTTTTCAGAATATATTTAATTTACTGCATTTTTGTTTTTAATCCTTAATGCTTGGTAAAGAGCAAAGCAGCTGATGGAATTGATGGTATGAATTATTAATATTGAAAATAGATATGCTGTATTGTTTGTCAAAATCTGTTTGAGTAAATTCATTTGTGGAGTGATTTCTAAATTATGTAATTAGTGTATTATACATCTTTAAGAGGAATCCTTTTTGACAGAATATATTCACATTTTAGTTGTTGAGATTTCCCTTTTCTCCTCTCTTGCAAGACTTTGCTCTTACATAAGTTTGTGTATGGAAGAAAAATGGAGGTCACAGCTGTGAGGAAATGGTCCAAATAAACCAACTCTTTGGACTGGAAACACTTGACTGCCCTCCTGATCCCACTAAAGCCAAATCAACACTCAAGGGAATAAAAAAAGCAATTTTTGCCAAGAGGAGTGTTATAAAGAAAGAATACATACATATTCAATGTATGTATGCATAACAGTGTGAGACGCACTGAGAAATTAGAAAATGCAGGTTTTAGTATAATTAGCCCTGATGATTTTCTGATCAGTGAATGCAGCAAATCTAAATACCTGGTCAAGCATTCTTTGATGTGCAACTTGATTTTGTGGGAGGAAGTTGGATGTATTGAACAGTTTTTGTTTTCTTTGGAAGCCTATGATGTTCATTCCAGCAGCAAAAGAGAGATTGAATGGTTGTACTGGTCATTCACCATGTTCTACCTTTTTTTTCCTTCTGCTCAGATGAATATAAAAAACACAAATTGGACATTTTGACACAGTAAATGGGTAAATTGACTTGAAACAAGCAAATACCCGAGTTATAAGGCTGCGAGGTTTTACAGCAAAGTGTCTCTCATGAAAGATGCCGGATGTAGAAATGCTTTCAAGTCTTTACTCAACTTCCAAATTAGGTTCACATTCGCAATAGAGTAAACATAGTTAGCATTTACCAGAGCTAATGGCTAATATTAAATACTAAAGATGATTTGAAAAGTCAACTCCACAGTCATTTTGTCTTTATTTTAAAATACGGAAATCTTGTTTTACAGCATGTCTTTGCTTCTAAATCTAGAGAAAAATCAGCTAAATTGGTATCAGTAGATCAAGGTTTTGCAAAAACTGGAAAGCGGAAATAAATTTGTAATCTGCACGTCTTTATAAATTAGCTACAAATTCAGAACATATAGCCTAGAATTATGAGATGTTTCCCCTATGAATGTATGTGTGAACTGTGTGGAAACTGTGTCAACTCTCATTACAAGTAGTAGTTGATTTCAAACCCCCTGCACTGCAAAGGTCTGAAGACTTTCTGTAAAAATGACTTTCTTTCTCAGCTTTATCCATCTCAGACATCTTGTTTGACTTCTGCCAGCTTGCTGTAACTTCCTGTTCTTCATCTTTTAAGTTTTTGATAAAAAAATAAAAAAAGGAGAGATCAGTTTGCAATGTCACTATGCTTCCTGCAGCTATCGTGAATGCTTTGTGCGCTGTTCGGTAATAATGTTGGATGCTTTTAATCTGCACATTTAGAACATTTCTAGCTTCATAGTTGCCCCAGGTAATCCCTGAATATTGTGTATCTTCAGAGAGAAAGTGGAGGCAATGTTGCTGAGAAAGTTGTATAATATACCCAGCATGAGTCGTTAGTTTTATAGCATTATTGTCCCTGTGCACATGGATATATTTATCCCTGTCTACCTTATTGTCGGAAACCTAAGTCATTGGCTGTTTGGTCTTGATTTTGTACAAATATATTCCTGAATGCATCTGGATTTTTCCACACAGTGACAGTCATTTTCCAGGCCTTGCTGACTTTGTAAATTTATTTGTTTTTACTCTAACTTCTATTGTCACAGTTTAAGTACAGAATCTCATTAGAATATATCTCAGTAGGCGTTTCTGTCCTCAAGATGAGTTGAACAATGTTGTTAAATGATTCCATTTTTACTTTCTAAAAACCAATTGTTCTCTGTTTCCATAGCTGTCTCTATCCCTGTATATGATTGTTTTTTTTCTTCTATCCATCATCTTTTTACATTTAATAAATAAATTCTCTGCTTGACTTTGACCAGTTTTGGTGAGTAAAATCTATCTGAATAAAACTTTGTCTTCAGAGCATGTAGATTTCTTCTGCTGAATATCTGTAAAGTGCACTTATTTCCTCTCTGGATATTCTTTTGTTGGGTTATCACATTTAAATGGCAAATGGCAATTGTTTGTCATCATTTTGACTCACAGGTGTAAACATTTTATCATAGCTTGTCATGGATGTTTATGTCTTAAATAAATTCACTTCAAAAATTATTCCTGTCTTAGTATACAGTCAGATCTGACTTAATGTCTTTTATATCTCATTACAAAAGGGTTATGAGCACTGAAAGAAAACACATTTACATGAACCAAAACGTTACTTATTTTAATATCTATTGATTTGACTTTTTTCTATTTTTATTTATTTTACTATAGATTAAAGAATCGTTATTTACCATCCGTAGTTCAGTTCAGATTTTGCAAATAATTATAATAATAAAAAAAAAAACAGAGTACATCTACATATATTTAAAGCCAAATATGAGTTGAAATGAACAGCAGAAAAAAAATTTGAAGTAGAAAATTTGTAAGAAGTCTATACAGTGTCAAAGGAAATGGGCCTTTAGTTGCATGGATTGATGGAACGACAAAGCAAAAAAAAAAAAAAAATCTCTCTTGCACTATTTGTTTGACTGAACAATTAGTTGTGACAGGGATGTTCATTATTTGGGGACTAAAGTGTGGAACTTTCTATTTACTTGATGTTATTCCCAGAAAACCATTTACTTTTATGAAGCTGGTCATTGTTTTAAATGCAATCACTGAAATACTGGGGGACTTATGTTTGTAGAATGTACACAAGAATATACAGTGATCATAGAAAATCTGACTGTTGTATCAGTCCGGAAAAAAACTTATGCAGCCATTTTCTTGCGTACGTAAAACAATCAGACCACACAATGCAAGAAACAGCAGGAAGGATTCTTTATTGAAAGCTTTACTTGCTTATTTCACTTCAGATCAGGGCTCACAATAAGCGGTGATTAGATTAAATGTCTCTGATCCAGCTTACTGTAAGAAAAGGCACCAAAAGTCCTAGTCTGAAAAAAAAATGTGTCCCTGTAGCAGGAGCAGATCCTCTAACAAAGACTCTCCAGAGAGACTGGTTGTTGTATCTTTGGGTTTCCTGGTAATGAGGCTGTTGATGTTGTTCTGTCTTGTGGTTGTGGTGGTTTCCAGTCCCGTGCTTTGGTTTGCCGAGGAAGCCCAGCCCGTACCCTGTTCCCGTTCCTCCCAGCATGCCTGCTGCTGCCGCTCCTGCCCACTTCAGGCCCTTCTTGGAGAGGCCTCGGCCCTGGGAGGGGGACGCTTTGTCACCATCGCCTTTACCGTGACCTCGGGAGCTGCCTCCTCGCTTGCTGAGCGAACCGGGGCACAAAGCAGCTGCGAGCAGCATCACTACCCAGAATGAGAGAAGCTTCAGCCGAACAGCCATCACTGGAAAGCTGCAAAAAAAAAGTGTCACAGTTTGAACAAACTTGAAGGATGTAGCCTTAAAATTCAAAACTACTTTAGTTAGGCTGATACTGAACTCTTTATTTGTTTCTGTGGATGACAGAGGAGACATAAGTCTGTTGGCAGGTGTTCAAACTGGCTTTTGATTTATTGTTACTACACAAACAAAGTCATACGCTCCCCTCTGCTAACACAGCAGAGATCCAGAACCGTCCACCACATGCTCTGTCAACACTGGGATTAGCTGAGGGTTCTGTGATGCAGATTTCTCCTTTTCATATTGGAGTTGTCTTCTTCTTATCAGCAATTAAATATTATATCACATATAGTGCATGTAATATAAGAATAGAATAGTTATAAAATTTAAAAAAGTGAATAGAAGAAGCTGTTTACAGCCGTCTGTAAACAGCTGTAAACATTCAGACCTCAGACGTGGTGCTGCTTTAAAACTGAAAACTTGCAAAGGAAATTTTTACCATTTTCTAATAAATTTAAAATAGAAACATCTTGAGAAATTAGAAGTGCTCTTATTTCCCATATTTGTAGTTTGATTCTATTGGATTTAGCCTTTGTGATGACAGGATGAGTGTAATAATTGTTTTTTTTTTTTGTTTTTTTCATTTAATGGGGAAAAAAAAAAAAGATACCTTACCTTTCTGTCTTGTTCCACAGATTGGTTCTGATGCTGAAGCTGTGGACTCTTATCAAGCAACACTTACAGTGCAGCAGAGCAGCACTTTGGCTTTCATTATCACCTCCATACCATCACCCAGCATCCAGTTAAGCCCCGCCCCACAAAACAAACTCATATGTTCAACAACGGGCCTACAGGACAGCCTCAATGCTTCTGCTGATGCAGGTGTTATCCACCACCCCATTATAGGATAAATGAAAAGCTGCTCCATGATGTGGGCTGAAATATATAAAACCATTTAGTAAAATAAATAATTATTTGAAATAAGTTAATATCTTTAAGGCCAGATTTACATGACAGCTTGTGAGAAGCGATTAAAACACATAACTTCCATCAAGTCGCCTCATTGAGGGCGAGTATATCAGACAGCAAAATGGACTTTAGACCCAAGTTTAGCGAGTCAATCAGCAGCAAATACTATTGCCCTGATCTGAAGTGTTTTTATTTTTTTATTTTTTATTTTTTTATTTTTTTAAATCTTACAGAACAAGATGGACAACTGCTGTCTGGAGGAGTCAGGAATTTAAATATTTTTCAAGCCTGGATGAGTATTGGAAAAAATAACATGGTGTAAAACAATATTTGTATTTCAAAAACTGACTTCCTCTCTTTTCCATCCATCTAGGAAATTAGTTGCACATGAGAAGCATGTGTGCAAATTTCCTCCCAAAAACACAGTTTAGAAATAAAACAGGCAGATATGCTTCCCAGTTTAAACATAAAAAAAATCCAGGCAGGACACCACAGCAAAGTTTAATCACCACAGTGTTATTTCATAATAAAGTATTCTTACGCACTTACATTTTAAAGAACATTAAAAAAAACAAAAAAAAAAAACAACAACAAATCCTTTGTTTGCATCCAAAGCGTTTTTATCACATGCTTTTACATTCATGTGCATCTTGAAATGAGGGCGCTTTTACATAGAAATAAACATTCTCATGCAAAGAAACAGCTTTTAAAGTGATGTGGTGGATACTGCACAGTTCTTTGCATGTTCACATTTTACAGGAATGGTTGCCTAGTTTATTTAAACATGTGCCCAAAGTGTTTTCTTGCCAAAAATCATCTCCGTTAGAATACAATTGGCATTACTTCAGCGTAAGAGCTTGAAGGAGGAAGCATCAAAAGGTCCAGTTTTCTTTACAGAAACTAAATGACGTTCTCAAAGAGCTGCATGGAAGCCATTATATTTTCATCCTGTTGAGAGAAAGAAAAACAACATGGATTTAGACGATTATTACCGAGTCAATTTTGTCAGTCTGTTGATCATTTTACCTTTTGGCAGGTTTCTATGAATTCATCTATTGTCACCACTCCATCCCTGTTTCGATCCATTTTCTAACAAGTCAAAAAAGAGATTTGTTCACTCAAAAAATGGAATAAAAGTGGGCATTAGAAAAGCATTTTGATGTTAAGCTAATTTTGAGGGAAATCAAAACTCCTCTGACCAGAAATAGATGTAAAATTTGGATGCAATGATAAAAGAAAAACATGTTGTTTTAGTTCACCTGGAAGAACTTCTCCACATGCTCAAACGGAGAATCATCTCGTACGCTGGGTAAGGTATACCTGCCCATCATGTCATATATGGAGGTCATTATCTCTAACATTTCCTGCAGGAGAAAAATGAAACAACAGATGAGCAACAAACTACAGTGTATCTAGTTTGGGAACTTTTTTGCAACTGTTACCTCCTTTGTAATGTAGCCATCTTTGTTGATATCATAAAGATTAAAAGCCCAGCGAAGTTTCTCTGTAACAGAGCCTCGAAGCAAAACAGACAGACCTAACACAAAGTCCTGTGAAGGAGATTGAAATGTTTTTCCTTAGTTGTCTATAAGCAACAAGGCCCTGCAAAAGAATTCATCACTCTTGGACCTTTCCACCTTTTGTCAAATTACAACCCTGTACTTTGATGCATTTTAGTGGGATCTTATACAATGGACCAACACAAAATATTTCTTAACTTAAATCACTTCTAAATTGTGATTTAAGTATTTTATGCATGAAAGTCTTAAAAGTGTGGCAGATGTATGTGTGCAGACCTGCCTCAGAAGGAGTGGCCATCTGCTGCATCCGACTGCTTAGAGGCAGCAGACTTTAGACTGAGGTAAAAATTTACTTGCAGCATGACAAAGACAATAAACATACTGTACTTCCACAGAGACAATGAAAGGATACAGCTGCAAACACACCTGAATAAAATGGCTGAATTATCATGAATTTACTAGTTGATAAAATTGTTTTGAAGCAGATCCATATCCAAAATCCTGACATTTGAGACTTTTGGTTTAGATTAAAGCGTAATCATGTTTAATTAAGAGTGGCCTAGTCCAATCCAGGCCTTAATCCAAATCAGAATGTGTGGAAATAATTTAAAGCTCTCAAAAGTTCTCTATTCAATCAGACTGAGCTTGAGCTATTTCAAAGAAGACGGAGGGCAAAAATGTTTTATATGTTCCAAGTCTGTGCAAAACTAGTGGAACCTACAGATCATACGACTCTCTGCCACACAATTTGCAATTATTTACTGCTTTGTGTTGGTGAAGCATATGCAGTTTCTCTAAAACATGTTGAATGTAACAAATGCTTGCTTTAATACTTTTGCAACATCCTGGATCACTACTTAAATAGCTGTGAATTTAATCAAAGCTGCAGCCGCTGACACACTCACCACAAATCGAATGGAACCATTTCTGTCTATGTCGAATGCGTTGAACAAAAAATGAGCATATCTGGTTGCGTCTGAAAGAAAATACGATATTAAAATTCAAAAACTAATGCCCTGGTTTGACAAAAAGTTATGTACAGTATATTCTCATGGTACGGAAAACAAAACTGTTATGCTACACTGTTGGGTTAGGAAAGGAAATGAAGGAAAAATTACCATATGAAATGCACCTTTGGAATAATTATTTTAGTGTTTACATTTTGCATTTTAAAATTCAGATTATATATGGTTACCTCCTTGAGGGAAGAATTGTGAGTAGATGGTTTTGAATGTTTCTTCGTCTACTAACCCGCTGGGACATTCCTGTTGACAGGGAAACAAGTTTCTATAATGTGTTTAGTCAATAACAACAACAACAACAACAACAAAACACAACCCAAGAATTTAAAGAAGGTATGCATTATTATTATTATGTATATTTCACTTACTTGATTAATCATCACTGAATTATTTTTACTTTTGAACAGATTGACCCTGCCTCCTCTGGCAGAAATGTATAAAAAGTTTTCAAATAAATTGATCTGTTATTGAAGTGGCACAATCTCCCGATGAAATGTTTAGAAAACTCCTTACTGTGAGTTTGGCACCAAAATTCACACATTAAAAATTAATAATTAGAACCAAGAGAATTCATACAGAACAGATTTAACTTTTACATTAGTAACCCATAACTGTTCATAAGCCACTGTTCATAATAGACAACACAGGAGAACATACAGCATCAATCACATTAGGCAGATAGAGGTTTATTTTCACAACTCATAAAGTGTTAAGACAGCTAAAATAAATGCTGAAACCACTAACTTTAAGGGTGCTAGATATATTTTAATCTTAAAGTTTTTTGTTGTTTTTTGTGCAGATTTTTGTTCAAAGGTGTCAAAAATTGTGTGGAATCTGGTAAAAAAAAAAAAAAAAATACATTTTAAAAGTTCCCCACTCAAAAAAACAAAACAAACTGAAATGTAATTACACACAAATATCTAAAACCATTTGCCCTACATTTTTGAAGCCTCTGTAGAGCGACTGCAGCTCCTTCCTGGTGAACTGCGTCTGGGCTTGGAGCTGGTCGAGGCCCTCTGGCTGGTGCCGCACCATAGAGAGCTCAAGGTCACTGTCGCTGGTGTCTGCCGGACAGAATCAGACAAAACAGGGGGAGGACAGGAGAAAGAAAAGAGGGAGGAAACAGCGGTAAGACCAGAAAGAAAGAAGAAAGAAAAAGAAAGGAAGGAAAGAAAGACTCGGGAAGAAGGCAAAACACTGGAAAACCAAAACGAAAAAAAGCACCCACCATCTTTTAGGAAACATAACAGGAAGTTGAGAACGATGGCGGAGAGAGAAGAAAAGAGGGATGAGAAAATGGATGAGAGACAGAGTGGCATCAGACAATGAACAGTTTGAGACGAGAGCAATAAAATGAGATTAAATAATTTCTTGAGTTTGAAAGAGTGGGGCAAAATTAGGGGAGCATGTAAAAAAAAATTATGCTGATATGAATGAAAATAATTTATGAGTGCATAAACACAGCGAACCTCCTCATTGTGGACACCTGGCAGTCACACACTGATACTCTGGCCTAGGTCTTTATTTTGGATTAGACTTTCTTTGCATTATGAAGGACAAAAAGTGTCACAATTACATAAACGAATAGGGTGGAAATGCCACTTGCTCCTGTTATCAATATGATTGACAACTTGTGACTTGCCACACAGTTTAATCAATCATTCGCTCCATTTGAGAAACTGCAATGCAGGACAGCAAATATTTAGTGCCAAAGTATCACAGTAAAATAGATAAATAAGTCAAAATGATTTGCACAAAATAAATAATGAATTTGCAACTTAAATCTTGAAATTTAAATAATTAAAGCATCAATCACTCTGAATTACTTAACTGAAAGTCCTATTTTACAGCACTAAGCCATAAATTTAATTTATTTGGACAAGGTGAACATCTTAAAGAAAGTGTTTCGTCTGCAGGGTAACCACTCAAATGTTAAAGACTACTTTATGAACAACAGTGACATAAGGAAATATGAAATAATAATATTTTCATTTGATCTTCACATTTTATATTCAGTTTTTCCGTTTAATTATCTATGACTTTTTACAATTTATTAAAAATATACATACTTTATATAATTTTACTTAAACCACTACATATATAATGTATTTATTTGACATTATTTATGAACCACGGCGATTTGAGTAAAAACTATGCATATACAATCAATAAAAGTATTTATACTTCATAGATACTGCAAGTTTCAATTAATAAGTTTTACATTTAGATATTTCTACATTTATTGTTTGGCACATTGAAATAATTCTGACTTTATACACCTATAATTTATGGAACTGATTCATGTCCTGTTTTGATTACAATATATCTAAAACATTTCATGACATTTCTTTCACATCTGTGACCTTGTATCACTTTTGGCACATGATGTTTGCTAGGTGACAAGTAGATGTCCACAATGTAAAAAAGGTCCAGTCACACTAATACAAACTAGAGTGAAGTTTAGGTGGATTACACTAATCAACGGGAGGAAATTAATCTGATGATGATGATGGAGCTACTCACCGTCTTTACAATGATTTCACACATGAATAGACAAAGAAGAGGTGAGGAAGATGGTGAAGGAATGAGAGGGAAAGAAAAGAAATATGAGACGAAAATGCAACTTTTACCAGGCGTGCACATTAAACATACGCAAATAAACAAATGTTTATAATTAAGAAAACATTCAAAATGTAGAAATACAAAGATACATTCTGCAGGAGACTTAAGTGGAAATGTTTTATTAACAAAACATTTGGTTTAAATCAGAAAAACTCTATAAATGTAATAAGGTTGTATCGTTACATTGCAACACAGTTAAGAAAGACTCAAAATTTACCCTAACCCTCTTACCTTCCAGTGACAAAGGCTCCCAAATCCCAAACTGTTTGAGAACAACAAAAAAAAGTCCAACAACAACAGCAATGGCAATGACTCCCATTCCTTCTAAACCCATTATTCACAAATATTAGATGTCAGCTCTGAAAATGCTGCTGGAATAAAAAAATGTAAGCATAAAAAATAAATATATTAAAAGTAGTGTCTCTTTTTCTGAACTGACAAATCTATTGATCCACCTTTTTGTTAGAAAAATATCACTTGCTGCCTACCATCTCCTTCATCCATCTAGCTCCATCAGTTCATCAGAGACATTGCACCAGCATCAGCAGATACGAACTGATTCACGCCACTGACCAGCCAACAAAAAGGATAACGCATGAATGAGGAACATCCTACTGCCCAAGTTTGACAAGTTTGACCGGGGCGCCTCAGTAAAAATAAAAGTCAGAAACTCCGATCACCAAAAAAAAAAAAAAAAAAGTCCAAAGTTGTCCTAATTTGCAGAAACATCCATCTGAGCCTCATTTCCAGGTTTAGCTCCAGTTGTCTGCTGTGAAGCAGGTGTGTACATGTGGTGCCACTGAGCATAGGAAGTTCTTTACTAATGGCCTGTGACTTTATGAGCCCCGTCATTTCAGTGATGCAAACTGTAAAACCAGGCATTGATCCACATCTGCTGATGGCTGGGATTTGAGTAGCACTTAGTGCAAATGAGCCTGTGTAATGCTGCCCGTATCTCCACACTTGGTCAGTGATAGACTCAGTAAGTAAAGTGGTTTTAATCACATGCAAGCAAATACCAGACGTTTTTGACTGGGTGTTTTTCTAATGTGATTAAACTGGATGGTGGAATATCCAAGTTGTGAAGGTTTACTTCGGAAAAGTGAATACAGTGCTGCATTTATTACCAGAGGTTGAATGGTTGTGTAAATAAAGCATTTTAAACACTTGCAGACGTTTTGATCAGGTAGGTTGGCAACACAGTGCAAGTGAAGAAGAATAGTTCGCAACTGATGAGTCTGCAAAACTTAATGGACTCAGTTTAAGCATCGGAGAGTGCTAATCAATCGATGGGAGATGAAATATTGGTCAGAGAAAGTGTACAGCATATGCATTTTGACGCAGGATTTATGTAACTTTGAAGTTTCACCAGTATTGGTCAGCTAACTTGTGAATCATCCAATAAAAAGTATGCTAAACTAAAAAAAACCCCTGCCAAAATCCCAAAGTATATAATATTTTTTATAGCATTTTAGTTGCACAGATGCAAAAGATCTCAATCTCAGTTTTGCTACATTTATATAGAATTTTGAAGATAGTACCACGTCTTAGCTGACACATCTAACCACAGCTATTGCTTTGTCGAATGTTCTCACCATCCTGTTCTTCTTCCACCTAAGTTTTCCATATTATCTTTACCAGCTTTATTTATAAAGTATTACTAAAGCAAAGTGCTGCACATAACTGCCTGCATTGAAAGGAAAAACATAAAAAATATGACACGAATGATAGATTAAACACAATAAAACTAATTGAAATGAACAAGGCCAAACTAAGTCTTTACTGGTTCTCAATACTATTGAGTTTAGCTGCTTTCAGCCGCCTCAAAAGAGAGATACAGTAACTGTTAAATATACAGGATCTGAACTTATATATGTAAAAAATAAAGCAACAACGTGTTGTTTAATGTACCTTAAGTGCTGACCCACCTGTTCTTCTATTAAATACAAATGGAGAGCCGTGAATTAAACATGCAAAGATACAGGCAGAGCAGTCTGCGGCCTCATCACCAGGATTTAATGACTGCAGAGAAAGCAGCATTAAGGCTAATCTAGTTTATCAAGCAGTCGCTTCTCATCTCATAATAAACTTCCCTTTTGCTGAACTTTTGGGTTTCTGGTTTTATTTTATTTTCACAACACTGCCTTCCACAAAAAAAAAAAACTCAAGAATTCAACATTTCAGTTTCAAACAGGTTTCATTAAACCTTAAACTGAAAAGGACAAAAAGCAAAATAATGATTTGTTTCCTCTATTTTCAAACGGACAAAACAAACCTCTAGGGCTTCCAAAACTTTAGCCTTTTGGTTTTTACTAGCATGCTTTTCTTCCTATATCTGGTTCTGGACTGGTTCTTTTACTCTGTTTCAGTCCAAAAGATATGGTTTTCTTTCTGTTGTCTTCCAGTCAATTGGCCTTGAAGATGGAGAGTGAATTAATAGATGCTCTTAAGTTTACAAACCAGTAGATGGCGACAAAGTAATTATAATGTGAAGGAACGTTGTCACGCAAAAATAAAACTTTACATTAATTTTGTGCAGTTCAAGTTCCAGATTTGTAAATCTACTTGTAGTTATATAGTTTTTAGTTTTTGAAGACATTGTAGAGGCTAAACTGTTAGCCGATTAGCAGCCCTGCGTTGTTTTCTTGAATGTATAATTTCTCGCTGCTTTTAAGAGTCTTGTAAAAGTATTTATGATCCTTTAACTTGATCACATTTTGTCCTGTTACAACCACAAAGTTTCACACTTTTTATCGGGATTTTACGTGACAGACCACACTATAAGTGAAGTGGAAGGAAAATGTCGTAGTTTCCAGTTTTTTCACAAATGACAAAAACTGAATCAATGCTCAATAGAATTCCCTTTAATGGTAATTACAACCCATATTTGTTGGTAATGTCTTCACCAGTTTTGACCAGTAGGACACATGCAGAACAAAGCCTAGTTTGCAGATGTAACGTGACAAAGTGTGGAAAAGTTCAGGGCGTAGAAACACTTTTGCCAACCTCTATAAGTACTGAAGATGCTGCTAAGTAAAATTACATGGAAATAGCAAATCAAGGCAAATGTGATATTTATGAGACAAGGGGAGACAAGTCTGTGTCATCATGTCTGCAGAGAAGCATGGTGTCAATAATTTAAATCAACCAAATGGGAGTGGCTTGGTAAGGACACATTCAAATAAAAATGAGGAGCATACCTTTATTTTTTTTTTTTGCTTAAAAGGAAAGAATAAAAATGAACTAACAGCAGTGAGTTAAGAATGTAAACTGAAGTTTGTTTGCTTTTAATTCAGGAACTCTGCAATTCATTTCCTGACAGAAATAAGTTATAACTTAGAAAAAGTTGGATTAGATACCAGAAAATATTTTTCAAAGCCCTTAATACTGAAAGTGAAGGAGGATGGTGAGCAATGTTGAATTTAAAATAACATCTGAAGCAGATCCTGCGACATTGATGCATTGTGTATGAAGGTGTGCACTGCTACTGTAATATTCCTGCTCTGCAGTCTGGCCTGTGATGTTTTATCATTCAGGGCATCAGTCTGCTCTTATGTCCTCCCCTGCGTCTCTACCTGGCCCTTGCTGCGTGGTGCTGGCGATTATCCACTTGACGAGGCAGCACTTCATCAGCGATTTGCGTGAAAGTCGGGGTCTCTGCCACTTTGAGCCCTCTGTTTGTCCCCCCGGGCTGGGATCTTTGCCGTTGGCGTCAGGGAGCAAATCGCCGTCCACAGTCTTCTTCTCTGCCTGCAGAAGAGAACCAAACTAATCTCCTGATTTGGTGTGACTCTGCATTAGCACATTAATTGACTATTATTTAATTAAAGGTTGCTTTGATGTGATATTACAGAAAGTTGCAGAGGAACCCTGGTGATAACAGCTTCTCCATTATCTTTCTTACAATTAGCAGCAGATAATATTCTGATGGTTCTGGCTCTGAAATGCATAACTGCTCCCGTTCTGCAGAAAATCTCTCAGTACTGTCTTCAGCTACCCTCATTGCACTTTTACAGAAACTAAACTAACGCATGTTGAAAACAGCTCTTTATCACACCGCAGTGAATGATTTAGTGAACAGAGGGAAGAGATATTTAAGAATAAATTAAAATTCCCATTAATGACATGTGCAATTCAATAATTTATCTTCCTTTACAGAGACTGAAGCAACTGAACTCAGTTTCTTTATATGGTTCTAGGTCTGTCATGACAACACATTTTACTGGACAATAAGTTGTCCCAAAAGTTATTGCAATAAGCAATACAATTGTTGTTTTGAGTCCGTTCTCAAGTAATAACGCAAGAGCAAATTCTCAAAGCTCAATAAACTTTAAATTCTAGTGAACATTTAACACTGGAACAGAAAAAAAACATTTTAAATATCCAAAATAAATGAACAAAACAACAGAAACAACAAATAAAATCAATTATGAAGTTTCTGCAAACAAAGCTGCCCTTCAAAAAAATGGTCAATTTGAGACGAATACACCAGACTGAAGATTTTGTTTAAATTTATCACGCTATATTGGTTTAGTGCTTACAGGTCTACATGGTCCAGAATCAGAACAAATCTCAAAGCACTTTGGGAGAGTCAGTGCAAAGCTTCGGCTACTACAGCCACATCATTACACACAAAATCTGGGTGTAACGATGGACTCAGTGTCATGAAGTGGAGTGTTTAGTGGTGAGGAGAAACGCGGTTGGCCCCAGGTTGAAGTGCAAAGATGACGGTTTAATGGAGATCAGACAGGACACAAAAAATCCAGGCAGCACAGGTGAGCAGCGGCAACAGCTCTGACTCTGTCAGCAACTGGCACATGCATTCGACAACTGAAGTAAAACTTCTGATAAAAGACGAGGACCCAACAGAGAACAAGAGACACAGGTGGGTATAAATACACAGGGACAGTAATCAGGGGAAACAAGGGACAGTTGGGAACAATCAAGGGGTAGACGAGACACAGGAAAAATCCTCACACTCTGACCTGAACCTTCAGAGACACATAGGAACAATTACGAAGTCAGCCTTCTGTCATCTAAAAAAAACATTCTGGTATTAAAGGACAAATACCCCAATAAGATCTTGGGAAACTCATCCATGAGTTTATTTTAGTCACATTGATTACTGCCACAGTGTCTTCTCAGATGTGCCTAAAAGAAAAATCAATGAGACAGCTGCAGCTGATTCAGAACACTGCTGCTTATGTTCTCACCAAACCAGTCCTCACGCTGGCTCCCTATAGCTCAAAGAATAGGCTTTTATTAGTTTATAAATCACTGAATAGCTTAGCACCAAAATACAGTATGACTCTGTTGCTATTGCATTAATCTTCCAGATCTCTCAGGACTTCTGGTTCAAGTCTACTCTGCGTCCTCAGAACAACATACGGAGCCGCAGCATTCGGTTTTTACGCTCCTCTGATCTGGAAAAAGCTTCCAAAAAAGCATCAAAACTACTGAAACAAATCTTCAAATCAAAGCTAGAACTCCACTTGTTTAGAGTTGCTTTGGATTGATGTTAATCATTTTTATCTGGATTCTAATTCTTCATTATGTTCCCATATTATTCCACTGCAAAATAATGTATTTTTCTTTGATTGTCGCTTTATGTTTTTATCATATAAAGCACTTTGAATGTCCTTGTTGCTAAAAATGTGCTGTATGAAAGAGATTGCCTTGTCTTGATTTAAAATAATAAAGCTAATGTTATGATAAAAGACAAAACTGCTGTTTGAGCGTCTTGGTCCCTTTTTTCACCCTGTCTGAATACAGAGACAGTGCAGCATCCAGTGTGGTGCTCAATAATTTACACACCTTTAATCTGCATCAATAAAAGATCAAAGTTACAGCTGCTGTGTTGAGGTGTGTGACGACTCCGGCTTTGTGAGCGACGAGTAAAAGCGATGCTTGATGAACCCTCCAAATCTTCATGAAAGGTAACCATCATGCACCTGTGCAGACGTGCATTCATGCCACCCACACGATTACTCTTAAAAATGCATGAAGAGCAAAGTGAAGTCTCATGCATTTATGCAGCGCAGATCCATGTGAATAGTCTGAAAAGCATCTAAATGCCTTAAGTTTTGCAATCAAAATTTATTTTCACGTCAGCAACATGTTTTGATGTCATGATAATGTTTGTGCTTAAATGTAAAAAGTTACATTCTATGTGCTACAGAAGAAATCTATATTTTTCTGCAGCTGCTTTCCAGGAAGCTTTAGTTTAAAATAGAGAAAGGTTTATCATCAACAGACGTGTTGCACTGTGACATTCTCCAGGAAACCATCTGCAGGGTTATGAACTCAGTGGGAAATGGACCACTGCTGATCTTCACATATGGTGCAGCATGGTTTTGCCCACATGGAGTTTCTGTCACGATCTCTGTCGCCATATGCAGACTTTCAGTTTCTCATTACATTTCTTTTTTATTATTATTTTTGCCTCTGCATTCTGACATGTTTTCACTTAACTAATCACGAATTGGCATTTTAGTCTTGTTTTCAGATACTTTTGAACAAAACATCTGCCCTTGAATGAAATCTCGAATGCAACACTTTTCTTCTTGCAACTTTAAATTCGAGCACATCCACAATAGGTTTACACTTACAATGTTTTCTAACTTTTTATCGTGAAAAATGCACCACTTTAGGTTGTATACAAATAAGTTTGCGCCTTTATTTTGAAGTGATAAATCCCAAACCATCACAGGGCTCTCATAAATAACTAAAACACCCATTCACATGCTGCTTGAATCTCAATCGGTAACACGTAAAAAAAAAAAAAAAAAGTGATAAATTCCTCCTGTACCTGCATTGCGTCTGGATTTCAGATGCTCCTTTGAAGAAAAGTCGCTTACAGCAGCCCTCCTCCTCCTGACGACCCTCACTGAACTGCAGCAGCAGCTTCAGCTTCATCAGACAGACAGCGGATATTTAAAGGAGGAGCAGAGCCGCTCACACGCCGGAAAGCTGTGACAGTCATATGGTGAAGCGCCAGAACGGGACAGGAGGAAGGGAGGCGTGGATCAGGTGTTTACATCATGACAGATGTTATTAAAAGAGCCAGATTACAAGCTGTGTGGGAGATGTGGGTGTAGACTCAGACAGTGTGAGACTCTCTGAGGAAATTAAAAAAAAGGAATTGCTGTAATCTTGTCTACATTAAATAAGACAATTCTCATTGCTCCGACAGTTTGCTAAGATTGACAGCTTTTTGTTTTGTTTTGCTTAGCCTTGTTTATGTGCTTTTGCTTTTAGTTTAAGTTGAAGTCGGGAATATTAAAGTACTCATATAAGAATATTGGAGCATTTCATGCTTTTCTAGACTGCAAAAGCAACAATTGTTCTCTTTTTTTCTCTTATTTTTTGTGGTGTTAAATCTCTAACATAACCATTTTATTTTATGCACAATTTCTGAAAAGATAATTGATGTGAAATATTATTTTTTAAGGTTTCTATTATGTGGATTTTCAGTACTTTATCATAATTTCATAACTTCTGTTCCTGTTTTTTATGTTACTTTAGTGAGCATTGGAAAGTGCTTAAACCTCAGATTGCAACACTTTAAAACAGAGTCTACGTGTGACTTCCGACAAAAAACCCACCAAGCACACTTCCCTTCATTTTAACTTTGAAAGGAGAAATTGAATCTGAATCGGGGAACATTCTGTGCATCCAGTCAGGGTTTCATGTTATCTGGAAGAGTAAATTAATCAGAGTACAGGAAGCTTCCAAAAATACTCTGAAACTTTATCTCGAACTGTGAAAGTGGAGGATATTTTCTGCAGTCTGTCTATAACAAGATGAGGACTGTGAGCTTTGGTAACAAGCTGCAGGAAGAACATTATGCAGCCATATTTGACTTTGTGAGCATAAGTTAAAAACGTAGGGGTAAAACTAGATGTGTCCTTCAGTTTCAATAGAAATGTTAATCAGTAAAGTTTCCTCAATGTCTAGGATTAACCTTTTCCTTGTAGGCATGACTTGAAAACAGTGATCCACGCATTAAATGTTAGAAACGTCATTGATTAACACTTGAAACTTAATTTTGTGATGGTTGTAAAATAATCAGAAGGCAGTAAAAATTTTATTAAAAGTTATTAAATTTAACTTAAGGATTCCAGTATGACAACTAGGACCGACTCTATCACTCAAGCAGTGATTAAACAACCAGATAATGGAGGCGCCAACAGGTGTTGTATGAGGTAAGAAAGTAATATTTTTATTTCACATTTTTACAAAATGTCTGATAGATTATAGCTACATTTCTGAAATGCAGCTCAACCCTCACAAGGACAACATGACTGATTATTTGGAGAAAAGTAAGACTTGAAGAGCTTCACTAAAAATAAAGTATTTTAGTTCCATGTGCCTGTACACATTGGAGTAAAAACGCTGGCCCAGAGAAAAAGATATTAAGGGTTGTCTGAATTACAGCTATAGCCATAAATTGGATTTCTCCACTGTGGCAAATTTGAGATTGTTGTGATCGGTAGTTTTCTGTGTCTATTTTTGGGTTTTTTCTGTGTTTATTGTGATCCTGTTCCCTGTCAGTCTCTGTGATGTCCTGTCCTCCCTGTCTTGCTTGATCCCAGCTGTGTCTCTCCTGTGATTACCCTCCCAGTGTATTTAAGTCCACCTGTTGTCTCTGTCTCTTGTCGGGTCCTCGTCTTTGTTAGCGTCTAATGTCGCATGTTGATGCTCTCCAGTCGTACTGATAAGTCCTGGTTTGCTTAGCTCTTGTTTTTCAGTCTTAAGTTATCAGTTGCTACCGGTATTTAGCTGTTGGCTAAACTCTCTGCCGTGCCGCCTGTTCTGGACTGTTTGAGCTTCTATCGTTAAATTCATCATCATCTTCATCACAACCTGGGTTCTCTGCGTCTCTCCTCACCACCTCTCAACCACCACGCATGACAGAGATGAACTGGGACCCTTAAATCCCTTGACAAAGTGCCGGTTTGTTAGGTTCCCATGCTACTGCTCTCAGACATTGGAAATAAATCACCATATAAACTTCACTTCTTTAACTCAGAGTAGAGACTTTGCCATTACAACTTCTGCAAATCTAATGCCAGATTTCAGTATTTCATCTTCGTCAGTCCAGCAGCTTTCAGCTTTCTTCTTGTCTGCTTTGCACTGCTGTTGTTTTTTCCATTCATACTTTTTTTTACACTTTCTCAATTTCAGTGTCTTGTTATTGGATTTTATTAGGTTGTGACTGTGAAAGAGGAAAACAAGTGTTTTATTTTCACTGCTGTTAACCCAACCTGTAGATATTTGTATGCAAAACAAGCATTTATCACAGCCAGTAAAGCCATTTTGGTTATCAGTTTTAAAACACTGATAACCAAAGTTATTAGAGGTAGAGGGCTGCTGTGAGATTTACTGCTCAACATATACATTTAATGTTTGGCTCCAAATGTTTTCTTTTTCTATTTATAGTCAAGAAAGCAATGCAAGGCTGTGTAATGACATCTCTAGCACCATTCTCCACAGCGAGGGACGTGTTCAAACTCAATAACGTCGAGATGTGCGTCCTCCTACAGTTTCCTCTCTTTCTGCAGACAGGAAGGTTATTTTTAGCCTCCAGTTTCCCAGGTGCCATCCACACCAGCTCTGGGTTTAATTCAGGGTTTGTGTTGTGCAGAACAGATGTGCTCTGGGAACGTATCCGAGTGTGTCTAAAGAAGATTTTGTTTTATTTCCTCTCTTCTCATAAATGTTGGGCTTTTCTCTGAACCGACATGCATGACTGCATCTGCACATATGGCTGCTCATTGTTTTTTTTTTTTTGTTTTTGTTTTATCAGAAAGTACTTATCTCATGAGATTAAAACATTTAGATGTAACTGTATGTGTTGATATTTTTGCTATTCATCCAGGTTGATTAAAATGTAGATTAAAATAAGGATATTGATTAATTGAACTGGAGATAAACTGCAGACTTTTTTCACTTTTAAGTCATTTTCACTGCTGCCATAAATAGATGTGCAGCATTGCAACACTTATCCAGTGAAAACTGAAGACAACAATGTTTTTTTTTGTTTTTTTTATTTTGCTCATTGTCTGGTTGATAAAATCTTTTTAGCTTTGTCTTTATTGAATTTTATAATTCAACCCAAAAGACAGACCTCTCCACTTGCCTTTGTTGGCCCACTCTTGGATTTTTTTTTCCCCAGGAGGATGATAGAAACTATAATACAGGAGCACTTTGATTCCTTAATTAACTTCCCAGCTCTAATCCCTTCCCTATTTTCATTACGTTCACAAATGTTGTGCTAATCATTAGCGTTAGGCAGCACTGAAGGTCACAGGTTAATCAAAGTACGTGCCGTTATTTCGTTCCCCTTCCTGCAAATCCACAGCGCACGTGCGGTGGAGCAGATAAAACTTTTATATCTTACTGCCTGTCTCTTCTTTCCAGTCACTGCACATCATAACTAATGCAACACACACTGCATGTGCGACCTGATTTTCTGAAAAGCTTCTGCAATCTATGCATCAGGTTGGAATAAAGAGACAGAATGAGCATGTTTGGCTGTTTTTAAAAGCATGAAGCGTCAAGATGATTTACGCTGGATTTTGTTTTAACTTTGTAGATATTGTGCATAACGAATGTTGCATCTGGATTGCGTCTGTGCTAAATGGATGAAATACTTTATTCCAATGAGTTTAGGAGAGAAAAGGTCATCCCGAGATCAGTTGCCTCTTTATCTGAACGCCCCCTTAAAACGTTCTGATTGTATTCCTGCCTCAGGGCAACGCAAAGAAATAAGAGAAACTATAAAACAAAGTAACAGAACAGCTGTTCTTTATGTTGCAACTCAAAGATTCAGGACAGTGTAAAAAAAAAAATCCTACCTCTGATTTTTCTGAGCCACTTAAACCTGAAAGTTTTCCGTCTCTTCGTTTAAAAATGTGCAACAATTGTTGGATACAAATGATTGTTTTATATTCTACCTGTGTGAGAATGATTACAATTGGAATATCTAAACTAATACAGAATTAACTTTCTCTGATCTCCTTCAAAAAGGAGTTGATACTTTAAGTTACATTTATGCCCCTTATGTAAACAGACTCAAAATCTGTGAAAAGTCAGTTTCGAAATCAGCTACCTATCCCAGATGATGATTTATGCTACATTTAAAGAATCAAGGAGGATGATTATGAATAAAGATATTTATTTTATCAAATTAAACATGCAGTATGAGAGATATTTAGTTTAAATCACTATTAAATAAATTACAAATCCTGTTGTAGTTCTCAGTTTTAACACCAGAGGGCACCACTGAGCATGCCATCCTTTCATAGGGGCTGTAGTGAGCCAGCGAAGGGGTTGTCCTGCAAAGTGTACACTTAAAGGAACTTCCTCTTGGACAGACGTGCGTGAGGAAAAATAATAAACACAAAGCACTTTCTGAAAGTTTCTAGGATGTGAAACAATGTGAAACCTGAACCAAAACACACACCTTTGAAAAGAGATGGCTTACAGTTTTATGGTTCCCTGTGGTTGTTTCAGGAACAATATTTCTGTTGATAATGTCTCCACCATGAACAGAACTCAGTCCAGATATGGCTGAATCTGAGAGAGAGGGACAAGTTGTTTTAGATGTCCACAAATCACAGATAATTGATCATTATTGGCAGAGATGTGCTTTGGAACATTGCTATTTGATCAATCAAAAGATCAAAATTTAAAGCTTATAAATTAACATTTATTATTATTATAAACAGCACACCAGAAAACATACAGATGATGTTTTGCAGGATTAATCAAAAATCTGCCTAATCAGCTTAACAAGTATTCAGCAAAACAAAGCCTTATTGGTGTAGTCTCAAGTTAGCTGACGAAATCTGATTCTGAGTTTACTTCCCAGAAGTATGTTTACAATAAACAAACACTGACCGACTGAGTTAATTTACAGAGCCTGATGTAACATCTTGCAATTCTGGTAATTCTGCCGGGGTTTTTTAGCTTGTTTCAGAACAAACTTTATTTAACTGAACCAATGCGATCGAAGCCTCAGATTGTGTAAACCTCACGCAATGTCGTGCAAAAATATTAATACAGGAAGTTGACATTATGTAGCATTATATCCACAAACTTCTCTAAAGTTTATTGGGATAAACCAGCAAGTGGCATGCTAGTAAAATAGAAGAAATTGTTTTCCAAGACTTTTTACAGAAAAAAAAAAAAAAAAATCTAAAAAGTGCGGTGTGCATTTGTACTTATCACCCTGAGTCGATACTTTGCAGAGCTGTCTGGCTGGTCTGGTTTTTATTTATTTAGATTTATCAGAGAAACAGAGTTGGACTTTTCTTAGATTTATATTTATGAAACAAACCATGCATTGTGTTCCTTTCACTTCACAATTCATTTACCTCATAAAACCCTGAAAAAAAAAAAAAAAACACACAGACATTTTCAGTTACATCATGATCAAATGCTACAAGTTTCCAGGGGAATAAATATTTTCGCAAAACTCTACATACGTTAAAGTTCTGCAAAATTGACTTGTATAACTATGAAGTGTTTTGTCATTTCTATGTACAATAACATCCACACAGGAAACTATGATTTCATGCAGGATGTCTCTTTTTTTCCCCTGTGAACTTCACTTCTTGCCGTCTCTCCCCCCCCCCCCCATGTCATTGTTTGACTGTTTTAATGATATTGTTTAGTCTTGGTTGAGGGTGGAGAGGGATGTCATAAAAAGATTCAGGAAACCTGACATCCAACATCACACAGAGCTATTTCTGCTCTGTTAGTGGGACTAATACAAATGCACACACAGACACGCATGTCGCACAGTGAGTGGATTTACTTTTTTGTGGGTTATAGAGTTCAGAGAAACGGGAATTTCTGCACAGACTTCAGGGATCAAACAGGCCAAGAAAAGAATATCTCTGGCCCGCCTCAGTTTCCTGACTATGTGACGTCTGAGAGGGGAAGAGGGGGGCAAATGAGATCCCCTTTGCTATCTGTTCCTGAGACTGAGCCTGCTTCTGCGCCTCCCACTTCATTTTCCCAGTAGTCAACAGGAAGACTGGAGGCCAGAGAGAGTGGTCGCAGTCTGCAGGAGAGGAACGTCCAGGGTCCAGCTGTAGTGAGAACAAAGGCAAAGGAATGAGCAACAGCCAGAAAGAAGTGAAGAAAGTCCAGTCAGTTTATCTGCAAAACTTGGAGAGACTTAACAAAGGGACAAAGTCTGAGAAAAAGAGCTGGAACCCCAAAGAAGGAGATTTTTCTGTGAAAGCAGCAATGGAAAAGCTGCGACCTTCTCCCATAGCTGGCCAAGTTGCCAAAAGCTCAGCAAACAGAATCAGCAGAGATCTGACCTGCTCCATATGCTTGGATCTTTTCAAGCAGCCAGTTTCCCTGCCTTGCGATCACACTTTCTGCCAGGGCTGCATCGAGGGCTACTGGACGGGGCCGCGGGGTCCCGGCCAGGGGGGCACGGGCTCCTGCCCTCAGTGCAGGAAGGTGTACCCCGGGAAGAGCTACCGACCCAACCGCATCGTTGCCAACATTGTGGAGAGCTACTGTCACGGTTTGGAGGAGAGCAGGAGCACGGGATGCCTGGCAGATGCGGGGTGTGCGGAGAGGGCTCCTGCTCCTGTCCCACACTGCAGCAGGCACAGGGAGGAGCTGAAGCTGTACTGCGAGGAGGACCAGGAGCTGGTGTGTTTGGTGTGCGGCGTGTCCCAGGAGCACAGGAACCACACCATGATGTGTGTCCAGGAGGCTGAGCAGAAATACAGGGTGAGTTCCTCTATGATCGCGTCTTCAGGTTGCTATTATTCAAGTTTATCTGGAATAGTGGGGTCCAGGTTTGCATGCAATAAATCTGGTGGCAGATACTTTCTAGGTACCAGTGCAGTAGATCAAGTGAAACATGTATTTTCTTTTCTTGTCAGTTTGTTGATTTCTCTGATGCCCCCCTCCTCCCCCCAAAAGCCAGTGAAAGTTGTGCCATTGTGTTTGCAGTGAGTCACAGTTGTTTTGCTGCGTTTCTCCTGCAGGGATTTCTCAACAGCTCCATGGATTCCTTAAAAGTGGAGCTCAACACGGCGCTGCAGTGTGACAGGGAGGCTGAAGATGAAGTTAAAAAGCTCAAGGTGGGATCAAACACAAACGAAAACAAAATCTTATTTCCAATCACCGATGTTCCCTCATTTCTAAGTCTTTCAATACTCAGAGGATCATAAATTTTGAGGCTCTGCATCCAATCCAAAATTGCTTTAATGTATTCAAATAATGAAGGCTATAAACACAGAATAAAGCTTTCTTAAGTCATCTCACACTGCCTTTGCAAGTGTTATGAGTTAGCTCCTAAAATTGCTCACTTTTTGTCTTTTCACAAATAAAAGTCTCAAATCTGAAACTGAGACTCAAAGCACATTTACTGAGTCTAAGTGTTTTCCATTTGAACTAAAGATGACCAAATGTAGTCCAGTTTTGTAAGAAAACTTTGAAACTGGCTGTTAGTTTTGCACCAGTAGCCTGCACGGCAGATGCTAACGTTAGCATAGTTAGCAGCTAATGGTTGCCAACGGTTAAAAAAAAACATTTTCCCTGTGAGAAACAAAATATTTCAAAGTGCCAGAGGCTTATTTTATGCTTATACAATATTTCTGACGCACATATAATTTGCATAAAGCCTTTCTCAGTTGAGTCCCTTGCTAAAGTCTGCTATCGTCCGTTCCCAGGACCACACGGCCGATCTGAAGCAGCGCATCGAGGCCCAGTTCAGCGACCTGCACCAGTTCCTGTACCAGGAGGAAAAACTCCTCCAGGTGAAGCTGAAGACGGAGGAGCGCAGGGAGCTGATCCGCCTGGACGAGCACAAGGCCCTGCTGTGCGTGGAGATCTCCCGCCTGCAGAGGGCCGTCCACGAGATAGAGGACAAACTCAAAGAACAGGACCCGTTCATCTTGCTCCGGGTGAGTTCAGCCGTATGAAATTCATGCACAGTGGAGAACAACTCATCTGGAAGTTATTACCAGCATGATGAGTCAGCCGCGGGGCCGCTTAGCGTGGAAAAATGCTGAGCTCTTGGTTTCAATAAAGTTTTTTTTTTTTTTTTTTTTCTAAATCTGTTTTTATATGAGGTGGACAAAGGTCTCATTTTTGCCAAAACATACACTTCTGTGAATCATTTTAAACGCCTCAGACATTCCAGATTTGATTGAGCAGAGTTTGCGTTTCATGTTTGTTAGAGGCCTTACACACGCTTGACCATATCAGATGAATATCAGCAACCACTTAAAAACAAAAGACTGTAGGGCTCCGAGAGTTCAGACAGGACGCAGGCCAGTAATCTCACCCTCTCATCTGGAGAATAAGGGACTTTAGCTCAGGCACGTTGCCACTCTATCTCTGGCTTCAGCTGCGGGACTTTCCCCAGGCCACAAAGATCCCGCAGGGTGGGACTGCATGAGCTCAGACGTTGATGTAATGTGGAAAGAAAAAGAAAAAAACTAATTACCGGTCTCTCGCTCTCTCTCTCTCTGTCTGTGTGTGTCTTCCTGTGCTTCTTGCTGCTCCTTGTGTTAGAGCATCAAAGCCCTTCCCCAGAGGTGAGTGTGAGAAACTTTAGGATGTGTTTTCCTTGGAAAGATGTGACTTTATTCCCTCCTTTCATTGCTTGATGTTGTTGGCAGGCCTTCTCTCAAGTTTGAAAAACCGACTTTTACACCACCAAGTCTGTGTGAGGGCCGCTTTGCGGGGCCTCTGCAGTACAGAGTTTGGAAGTCTATGAGGGGAAGCCTTTATCCAGGTAATGCATGCAACACATGGGCTCCTAAACTACTCACCTGCACAGATATTCATCTTGAGAAGCTGAACTTACAGTGTCACACCTGCTTAAGGTTTTCTTTATGTGTTGCAACAGCAAAGACATGTTTTATTGGGACATTATATAAAGAATCAGCTCAGAGTAACACATACTTGTGAAGTGGAAGGAAAATAATTCATAAAATCCACATTGTTTTTCCAAATAATAATCTTGAAAGTGCGGCCTTTTGTTGCATTTAGATTTTTTTTTTTTTTTAGCAGGGCCGGATTTACAAGAATGTGGGCCCTGGGCAGGAGCTAGTTTTGGTGCCCTAGTCAGTTCAGAAAGATTCTTCTTCGAATGCAAATTACAATACACTAAAAGATAGTCCTATACATAAATTGATGCATGATTGGTTTTACATG